GAGAGGTGAAGAAGATTATTAGATGTGCAAGTGATCGTGGCGGATGGCAGTTGATGATTATCAAGCCTCCAACTGGGAGAATGTTGAGTTTTGTGGAGGCTAGATATGTTTGAGCCTGACTTGGATCGGTCCGTCTTATTTTTTAGCCCGTTTGTTTCTTGTTTCTTGGGGAAAAAGTTTCGTAACCCTAGGTGTCTTCCTATATATACACACCTTGTACTTGTAATTCCGTGAGACACGACAAGTTAAATTCTTGTGTGTCGTCCGTGTTCCGTTTCTCTCGTTTCTCGCATATTATTTGTGTGTGTTGTGTGTTTAATTTCCCAACAATAACAAAAAATGATAAAAAAAGCAAACAAAAATAAGACAAAACAATATCAAAAAAATAAAAAAGTAAAACAAACAAAAAAGTAACAGTTCTTAAAAGAATAGCTTAAAAAACTTACAAAAAAAGTTCTCAAAAAAAGTTGTAATGAAACAAATAATAAGAAATGACAAGAAAAAAAGATAAAAAAACAAACAAAAAAACAAACATATAAGATTAAAAAACCGGAAACAAAAAAAACTTGAAAAAAGATGTAAAAAAAGAAACCAAAAAAAGAAGGAGCTCAAAAAGGGGGGTGTAGTAAAAAAAAGAGGAAGGGAAAGGGGCTGGATGGGGGCTGGCAGGGGTAGGGGTAGGGTGAAGGGAGCTTTGAAGAAGAAGAATAACGGGAAAAGGACCAAACTAGGAGTAAAACATATATCATATCCTCAAAATAAGAGTTGAAACTTAAAATCCCCTAAATAGGAGTAATTTACTTAATTAATCTAATTAATCAACTTGTCCAAGATTTAAAAGAAAGAAGAACGATCAGCTGAAAAGGTTGCGAAAGTTTTGTTGAATGAAGCCAAAATGTTGCGGACCAAAGATAATACTTCCATAATGTTTCTAATTTTTGTAACTTCTCATAGACATAAGAGTAGTGTATGCTCTTTCTTCTTCTTCTTCAATTTTTTTTAAATATCTATAGTTATAAATATATCTGTACATATATATATATACTACCAAGAACTGCCTACCACACTCCCCCGCGTGCCCGCCGCCACCGTGCAATATATTATCGTTAGTGATTTCCCACATCACCAAGTCCGCCACGCCGCCACCGACACCATCTGCATTTACCCATGACCTACCATCGTGCCCCGCACCATTCAATCGAGTGTTGCCGATGATGTCCTACATCACCAAGCTCGCCTCCTTCGCCGCCAACACCACCGGGATTTGCCATCTTCGTCGTACATATTATTATGGTCTTATCGTGATTGTCAAGAAAAAAATACTTTTTATACAATGCAACAATACCACAATGCCAAATATTACAATATATAATGGTAAACATAGCCACTAACAAGTACAAATATGCCACTATATAATGTCAAAGAGAAGCAAAATGCCAAATATAGCACTGATTAACAACAAATATGTCATTGTATCACTCATAGCTGGTTGTGTACCACCTCATCTAGGGAGACCATATTATTCATAGTCGACTTGATCATCTAGATAATGCCAAACATGATAATTTATAATGCCACAAATGACAACGTATAATGACATATATGTCCATGTATAATGTTACATATCACACATATTAATGCATAATGTCCAAAAAAGTTAAATGTCAAGAAACTCTATGATCTGCCAAGACCATAATCATTTAATTTTAATACCAGTTTTATAAAATAATTTCCTAAGAAGTAAATCCATATTTAAAATCAAATGTCACAACTAATGTGAAATTGAATATGAAATTGAATTCAAACTTACGCACGTCTGAAAGAATTAGTACTGATTTTATAAAATAATTCTATAAGAAGTAAATTTTCAGATTTCAAATTAAATGTAACCACTTATGTCAAATTGAATATGAAATTGAATTCAAGCTTACACAAGGCTATGAAAGTATCATCTCTCGAAGGCAACATAAATGGTGGAGAGGGGTGAAAGGAGTGTTAAATATATTCTATATATTTAATATTATATTATAATTATTGTAAATGAAAAAAATAGTTTATTACTCCTTGAATTCTACCAAGAAACACCCAAAAAATAGAGAAGAGATCAGCAAAAACATGCTCATGATTGGAATTCCAAGTTGCGCTGGGAACAGTGCTCGAAAATTCAATCTTGGCCAAAATCAAGAATCTTTGTTTCGAATGATGAACAAACTTAAGAAATTTATTGGGCTAAGCTAGTTGCTCACAACCCCTCTTCTAGAGAGAGAAAATCTAAGCCAAAACTTAAATTAGTTAATTACTCCTATTTAGAGGAGTTAAAGTTTAAACTCTTACTTTGAAGATATAACATATGTTTTACTACTATTTAGGGGGTTTTCTTCATAACAAAAAGGGGTGAAAGAAGAAGAAGAAGAAAGGGGTGAAAGAAGAAGAAGAAGAAAAGGGGTGAAAGAAGAAGAAGAAAAAAAGGGAGTGGGAGGATGGAGAAGACGAAAAAGAAATGAGGTCAAATTAAAAATTATAAAATATAAAAAAATTGTAGTTTTGTCCAAATGACCATATGGTTACCTAAAAACCAGCTTCAGGTACCATTCGTGAAAGTCTTCAAACTTCAGGTAATTTTTGAAAAGTTTTGAAGTTTGGGTAACGAATCGAAATTTTGGTGAAAGTTGAGGTACCATTTCTAAAATTTACCCGTCTCTACCACATGTCCACATGTGTATAAGATATTGGAATATAGATAATTAATAAGGTTAAATTCTGAAAAAATAATAAAAAAGGGGAAAAGTTCCCCTTTTTCTTATTTTTATTAGTGGGGAAATATTTTTCGCTTTTAAATTTAATTTATTTTTTTGTTTTATTATCAGGGGAGATAATTCTACCGCAATTCTTATTTGATATTAGCGGGGAGCAAGTCCGCCGCTATTTTAATTATATTTTTAAAATGAATTTAGATTTCTTTTGTACAGCCTTTTTTAAGTTTAAACTATTCTTCTAGATATGCTCGCCTAATTTATTTCAATTAGATAAGACATTAGAGGCGCAAATATTCCCCGCTAAATACAATTTCAATAGAGNAGCCCCCCCCCCCCCCCCCCCCCGCTACTCTACTGCTAATTAGAGGCGGAAAAAAATCCCCCACTAAATTTCCGCAATTTGAATGCGAATTCTGGTAGTGGATGGTAGTGTGGGGGCGAAAGTGTGGCAGTTGCTGCGTTACATTGTGGTGCATATGACATGGTAGTGTGAAATCTTGTTTTTTGTCTCAATAGACTTAGGTTTCGTATTTTTTTTTACAATTTTTGACTTTTATCCAAAGAGTTTTCTGTTTGATTTATTCAAAATATCGAATAAGTTTTTTTAAAAAAAATAGTGAAAAGAATCGTTTTTTAAAAAAAAATTGTGAAAAGCATCTTTGAATAAAGAGTAATTATAGATTGAACAGCTCTTTAAAACTTACAGCTATGCACGAGAAATCAATTAGTAGGTTTCTAAAGATAAACGACTATTTGGCTCACCAATTATATTATATTTATCCAAATAAAAACACACCTTTTGTCTTATTGCCCCTCCATCGTGTCAGCTTCTCGAACATCACTTGGTGAATATAGACACTCTAGAGATGGATCGTTATATGGGGTTAGAAAGAGAAACAAATGTCATCCACGTCAAAGATATAATTAATATTTCGATGGTTCTCACTAGCATAAAATGATAATATAATTAAAAAATATGTGCTAACTTTTTGTGCATATGTGAACCATCATTCTAACATTACACTGTGACAAAATGAAAGTGCACACCTATAGCATATAATTTCGGGTATAAATTATGGAGTGTAAATAGCTTAATCCAAAAGAAAAATCTAAAGAAAACTTTTATTGAATATCACTCGGTATGTCTTTTACTCCCTTCATCCCAAAAAATCTTTCACGTTTCAAAAATTATGTCCCTTAAAGTTTTTTCCATTTTTATTAAAAAATCACTTGTACCCTTTACTTTTTCATACCCTACGTATTTATCACATCATACTTTTTTCCTAATAATCTATACATCACATCCTACTTTTACTCATCACATCAAGGATATTTTTGGAAAATAAACACAAAATTATTCATCTCTTATTTTACCACTTTAGTTCAAATGTCTCTATTTTTATGAGACGGATGTAGTACTATATTATCTCTTTTATTGAATGCCAAAAAGAAAAAATTTAGCTTTGAATTTTACCAACGGTGATATATTACCATACTAGCATCAAGTTTTTTTATGTACTAGCTAGAGACATGTCTCACTTCTTATTTCTCAATAATCATATTGACATTATAACTCGATCATTTATTGTCCCGTGGCGGAGGCTATGTGGGCCAAGTCACAATCGAATGTCGTGGGCGCTTCTGTGCTGAATGCACTATAAGGCTAAGGTATGCGCCTCTTCTAACACCATTTGATTTTAGAAGAGTTGGTAGCGCCTGAGATCCTACAAGTGGTATCAGAGCCAAGGTCACGAGTTCGATTTCCAGCGGGAGCAATTGTTGAGGGGGAGATTGTTGGCCATGTGTGCATCAATTATCCCGTGGCGAAGGCTATGTGGGCCAAGTCACAATCGAATGTTGTGGACGCTTCTGTGCTGAATGCACTATAAAGCTAAGGTATGCGCCTCTTCTAACACCAATTGGTTTTAGAAGAGTTGGTAGCGCCAGAGGTCCTACAAAGAGAACAATAAGGATTGAGGTTTTTTTCTCTACCCCGAAATTAGAGGTTATATTTAACAACCATGTTAGGGGTATAGCAAAAAATGTACCCCAAGTTGTAGCACAAAGGATTTACACAAAAAATTTTTATCAATATAAATCACCACACTACCATCACACTAGTATAAAATGTCGGTATATATGCATTTGGATATAAAATAAGGTACAAATTTTGATGTACAAATAGCTTAATCCTATATTTAATAACCACTATTGGTCCAAAACATGTAATCAATGACGTCAAAACTCATAGGATCTAATGTGTCACAAAATAAAAAACTCAATTAAGCAGTATAAATATGGGCCGTGTCAGTTTATAGTTGTTATCAAAAGCCCATTTCTTTCTTCTTTAACTTTCCGGCCGTACCAAATTATGGCACCCAAACTTCCATTATCAATACCACTCTACGAAATAAAGCATCGAAACACCAGAATATCCAAAGCAGTAGAACTCATCATTCTCTGCCTTCTCCTATCACTCATTACCTACAGACTCATTTCCCTCAACAGCCATGCCGCCGCCACCGCCGCCGCCTCCGCCGCCGGCGGCTTCTTATTATTCCCTTGGCTTCTGGCTCTCATCTGCGAGTCTTGGTTCACTTTCCTCTGGATTCTCATAGTCAACTCTAAGTGGAATCAAGTCGATACCCACACCCACCCTGAACGCCTCTTGCAACGGTACTTTTCTTTACCGTCCCAAACTAAATTTATTTACTTTTTCGTTTGTCTCAAAAAATAAACCGTGAGTTTTGAGCTCGTAATTAAACTTTGTAATTAAACTTTTCATCGATATAACTCTGTTATGTCAAGAAATTAAAATAACCTAAAGTCCAACCTTCTAATTGTGGAGCGATGAAAAGTTTTTATGTTCAACAAACACGCCCCCCTCAAGTGCGTGCGTGCGCGTTTCAAACCTTGCAAATGAAACCTTAACTTAAAAAAGTGGAAAATGATAAATTTTCATCCTGTGACCTCTTGATTAACGAGGCTTCGATAATCTATGGGCCTGTTTGGGAATAACGTTAGATATTAGCGTTAGCGTTTTGAATAAAATTTCAATGGTACAAATTATTTTGAAAATGCTAACGCTAAACGCTACACGTAGATAGCCTTTTAAAAACGTTAACACGAATCTCTAATGCTATTCCGAAGCATGCCCTATATCAAAAACTCAACTTAACCAAAAATTCTAGCTTGTGATTGTAAGCTCAGATTTTTTTTCTTATATTCTATCTAATAACAATTTTTTTTCTTATATTCTAATTTTTTGAGCAGGGTGAAAGATGGGACGGTTGAGCTTCCTGCGGTGGACATGTTCGTGACCACGGCGGATTCAGACTTGGAACCGCCGATTCTAACTGTAAACACGGTGCTGTCTCTGTTGGCGGTGGACTATCCGGCGAGCAAGTTGGCCTGTTATGTGTCCGACGACGGCGCGTCCCCTCTCACCTTTTACTCTCTACTCCAAGCAGCCGAATTCGCCAAACTGTGGGTCCCCTTTTGCAAGAAGTTTAACGTCGCCGTTAGAGCTCCTTTTCAATATTTCAATAATGGCCCAGAATACGGCTCCTTAGAATTCCAACAAGAGTGGCAAAAAATAAAGGTACCTGCATCCCTATCATTTTCTTCAATTCGTTGCAAGTGTATATAAATCACTTTTCATTTGTTTCAATTTTGATCTCTAGTTTTAGAGTCAAATTAGGTTGATTAGTTTGTCTGCTTGTTGCGGAGATGGAAATGTTAGGGTGGATGTGTGGTCGTGTGGAGAGACGAGGTTAGATAAGATTCTGAACGAGATTATCTTTGGTCAAGTAGGCATGACACGTGTGGAAGATCAGATGTGATCGATAAGTTCAGTTGAAGTAGTTTGGGCATGTGAGGTGGGGAGATGCTAATAATCTCTCTCCCGTGTGAGGAGATGGGAGATGCTTACATTGGTGGGGGAGAGTAGGGGATGGGGTAGACTTAAGAATTATTGGAGGGAGGTGATCCGATTGGATTTAAAACTATTATCCTTATTGAGAATATGGACTTAGATATGACCGTTTCAAGAACTCAGATTAGAGTACTTAGACATGTGCATTGGGTTAGGAGGTAATTTTTTGTTTAGTTGTTTGTGCTTTGTATGTTTTATATTCTTTAGTTATTCTACTTTTTCTTTGTTAACTTTCGTTTGATTTGTGCCTCTAGAAAATAACAAAAATTGGAATATATATATATATATATATATATATATAGGTTTTTTTACGTGCTTGGTGTTTTATCAGTGTTGTAATCTTTATATCCGGGGGTCTCTTAGAAACAATCTCTATATTTTGAGTAAGAGCGAGGTCTACGTATACACCTTTTTCCAGACCCTACTTATGTGAAATTTAACTAGGTTGTTTTTGTTGTTGGTGTTGTGTAGTTTGTTTGCTTGTCAAATGCTATTGTATAGCACTATGTATGTCACACCAAATTCAGAGATATTGTCTTTATATTACTCAGTATTAATTAATTAAAGGATGGGCTCCATTCCTGAGGGTTACCTTAGATCCGACGATCGAACAGTCACTGTGAGGGGTAAATTGGACTTTGATTGTAAATTGTGGCAGGGACTGGAGCCTGCACCAGGTACTTGCGCGTAGACCATATGCTTAGTGTAGTTGCTTCATAACGCAGTTGTTAGGAATCAAACTTGGGTTTATAATCTCTTGGCACTCTCTGTCTTTGTGAACTACGCAATGCCCACCAATTTACTCAGTATTGATTAACTATGTAAGTGTGATGGTTTTAAACTATGTAAAGACTCTTTGACTTTTTTCTTTTTTTCACTTTTCCAGGATGAATATTCCATCTTGTGTGCAAAAATAGAAGATGCGAGTAAAGAATCTATGATCTTTGATCTTACTGGCGAGTTTTCAGAGTTCACAAATATCGAGAAGAGAAACCACCCCGCCATTATAAAGGTTTCATACTTTCATTAATTTTTAAAAATCCTTATCTTTTGAAAAATAATATTTATATTCCAAATTTTGTTATTTACATCACTTCAAAAGATATTATTCAGCTTTCTAATATAAACAGTAATTTTTAGAGTGTTAATTACAAAATTTGAAGTACAAATATTATTTTACTTATATTTCTACTCATATTTCTTTGTCTTCTTCACCGGTTCTCATGTGGTCCTCACCACTTAATTCCCTAGCCCCTCCCACTTCTTGCTCCTCCTCCCATCCCTCCCTTCACCCTTTAGCTACAATGATCACTGTTGCCAATCGATGAAGGAGGGAGTGCAGTGGAGGGTTGGGGATGATTCGTGGGATTAAGATGTATGAGCCATCAATTTTTTAAACAGAAAGCCGTAGAAGACTCGAATCATAACATGACATTGTAACAAAGGTCATGTGACCTCACGTCCATCTGTGGTTTAGAACACATCGAAAATAGTGACTAATGAGTAGTGTAGGAAAAAAAGTACTTGTATGATAAAGTGACTGTTTCTCTGTGCTGGTGCTTATTGATTTATTGCTGATAAGTAGTTTTTAATTTATAAATTTCTTATAAATCAAATTAAATACTCTTTTGTGGAAGTATAATAACTTAAATGATAGATAAATCATTTCTAAATATTCATAAATAGTGAGAAACCATTTTATAAATAATCTAGTCAAAACGAAGGAACAAAAAACAGGCTTAAAAATAAGTAACAAAGACATGTTTATTTTTTCTGACTTATAAGTATCTTATAAATACATAGAAACATGTCATCAATTGACTTATAAATTAAAAATCGTTTATAAACAATTTTTACCAGTTTATAAATACAGAAAACATCTATAATAATCATTGTGGAATGGAAAAAGTCGGGACCATCCCAGTAGTATGACCCATAGAAGTCAGTGAACTCCCAAAATATGTGCTCAAGTTACCTCATCTGTCCCCATTTTAAATATAATTATATTTTTTTCTCTTTTCTCGATAATTTTTGTTTGTTTGTATGTTTTCGTTGATTATTTGATAAAATAAAATACTTTTGTCACTTCTTATTTTGTAGGACTTTTGATCTAGTTTTTTTAACATGTAATTTTTATTTCTTATTGATGTACTAATTTGTAAATAAAATAATTTTAAAAATCGTAAAATTTTACCTTATAATTTCTTTTTTGTAATCAAAATTGGGACAGATAGAGTGATGTTACGTTTTATCATCAATTGAACACATGTTATAATTTAAATTTTTATAATCAAAATGAGTGATGTCTTGTCATCAATTGAACACAAATTATAGAGTTGCACTCCAGTAATCTTAGGATCTACATAAGAAATGTAGATCTTATTACATTTTATGAGTTTATAAGTAGATTTTTTATTTTAAAAAAACCTCTTTTGCAAAAAAAAGCTCTTATATGATACTTATGTACTTCATAAAATAAGTATGGACATAAAAAAACCCATAAAATTTTGCACAAGTTATAGGGTATGGAGTATGTAAATACAAATGTGGTTTCATTATACCGAGTATTTATTTGTAAAAACTATCAAAAGATTATTATTTATATTAATATGGTATGCAATGTAATTTTACTTAATTATTAATCAAAGTTTATAGAATTTAACAAAAAAAATTCAAATTAAACAAATTATTTGATACAAAGGTATACGGTACATGTTAATTTTAAAAACATTCTAAAAAAAGTTGACTCGATCGATGGATGATCAATTTTGAAGTCTTATTTAGTCGTAACAATTGCAGGTAATCTTGGAAAACATAGTATCACTCCCTGAGGGAGAAGGAGTTCCAAATATAATGTACATCTCCCGAGAGAAGCGTCCTAAGCATCCACATCATTATAAAGCTGGAGCCATGAATGTTTTGGTAATATTCAATTGACACATTTTTTTATTTGAGCTTTTTATAAAGAAAATAAACACACAAAGTTATAAATTTACAAATGCAGACAAGAGTGTCGGGAGTGATGACGAATGCACCATTTATGGTAAATGTGGATTGCGACTGTTACGTGAATGATCCAAAAGTGGTGATGCGTGCAATGTGCATACTCTTGGGAGTAGAGGATGAAAAAGACGCTGGATTTGTCCAATTTCCTCAGAACTTCTATGGTGCATTGGAAGATGACCCATATGGAAACCAAATGAAAGTCTTGATGAAAGTAAGTTGACATGTTTATGTTATTGTCTCTAAGAAATTTCATTATTTGTGAGGAACTAACACTATCAACTTTTAGCAAAAAGAAAACGGTATCAACTTTGATATCGTTTGGAGCGTGACTTTAACAAAATACAAAATTTAATTTGCAAATTTATAGGTCATGGGGTCGGGCATTGCTGGGATTCAAGGGCCGTTTTATCAAGGAACGGGATGCTTTCATAGAAGAAAGGTTATATACGGCTCATCCCCAAATCTGTGCGGTTAGTTTGACACTCACTGCATTCATGGTCCCCTCTATATATTTCAATTCTAGAATCTAGACTCCAAATTTAAGAATTCTATTTTCAAACTTAAAATAAGTAGCTCAAGGTCTTATTCACATTGGTTCGTTTTAGATTTAAAAGAATTGACCCACTTATTTCTAACTCGTGACTCGAGTTAAAAATTAAATATTAGGTTTTGAACAAAAGTTACATTAATCGAACAGAAAATATCACTTTAAAAATGGTTCAAACCCAACTGAACTTGACCACAAAAATAAAATTTCTTTTAAAGGCAATTTTTTTTCGTACACGTAAGGTATATGATGTGTTTAGTTCACCTTACCTAGAGATAAAAGGTATAAGTATTTGATTTAATGCTTGCTCTCATGATGAGCATTTTTAGTTTTTTTTTTTTGAAAAAGAAAGAAAAAAAGAGTTAAGAGTATTACCATAGAAGCACTATTTTTAACATCATGTATGTTAATATGAAATATAATATGATAAAAATGTTGTAATATTATTTTTTTCCTATAACCCGTTTTAGTGTATAAAATTTTTTTCATAGATGAGTATTAATGATATAGCATTATCTTATTTTTTAAACAAAAAGTGTACATATTTTTTTAATAATATTGTTGTATACATCTAAAAATCACTTAAATAAAAAAATTCATTTTTTTTGATAACTTTAATATATATACTTTGATGTTTTGTTATTTTTAAAAGTTAAATACAAGTGGTAGTGTAAATTTAATTACTCTAAAATTAAAGCTCATGAATCGCTAGATTGATTCGAGCCCGATGACACCGAGCCATCAACATACAATTTCAAGTCCGATTGATTTGCCACCTCTGAAGTATTGTATTAAAGCAAAACAAAGAAATGATTCCCATAATTACCCTTGATTTGTCACACATCGCAATTGAGCAATTGGTTATTGGCCCTCTAATTGAGTAACAATATTGAATTTGTCTCCATCTAAAAGGAGAGAGTGACAAAGAGATGAAGTTGGAAAGATTCGGCAAATCAAAAGACGCATTCGTTTGGTCAGTTGCTCAAATCTTATCATCATCACCATCACAATCGGGCGAGACCTCCCCAATCTCTTTGAGTTCCTTACAAGTTGCTAGCCAAGTTGCACATTCTACTTACGAATTTGGCACCAGTTGGGGTCACCAAGTAAGTTCTCCTCCTCTTGAAAAAAGTATTTTTATATATATATATATATATATATACTCTCCGTTCCAAAAAAAGATTGTCACAGTTTGACTTTTTTATTCAAATTATGGCACCCTCCGATCATGAATTAAATATAATCTAAAAATAATTCTAGTAAACTTAAATTTACTAAATTTACATTATGACTAAATATATATTTTTTTCTCAATCATTTGTGAAAAAAGTGTTGCACAAATTGATCGAAAAAGTAAAACTGTTGTAATCTTTTTGGGACGGAGGGAGTATGCATCAAGGAAAAACCTCAACCAAAAAGGCAAGCTTATGGATGTAATCTGTAAATGCTGGCATGGTCACTTCACACCTTGCCCTGTTTGGAAAGAGCATTTTCGATTAGCGTCATTGATTTGGATAAAAATTTTAATGGTGTAGATTAATTCAGAAGACGCTATCGCTAAAGACTTGCGTCACATGGTTTTTTCAATCTCTAACGATGATCACAAATGATTCTCATATTATGTCAAAAAACTGACTCAATCATATTTCCCTCTTCTTCTTTATCTTTTTATGATTATGGTTAGGTTGGGTGGATATACGGATCTGCAACAGAAGACATCCTCACCGGATTAACTATCCATAGAAAGGGTTGGAGATCCGCCAATTGTGATCCCAAGCCTTCTTGTTTTCTTGGCTGTGCACCGGCAGGTGGGCCGGCGGCATTGACCCAACAAAAGCGATGGGCCACTGGGATCATGGAAATATTCACCAGCATGAATAGCCCGATCATGGGCACCCTTTTTGGCAGGCTCAAGTTCAGGCAATGCCTTTCCTATTTATGGGTTATGGCGTGGCCCATTCGGCCCATATTCGAATTGTCCTACTCCCTCCTCCCTGCTTACTGCATCTTCACCAATTCTCACTTCCAACCAAAGGTAAATGAAGGCGCCACCATTGCAATACCTTCTTCCATCTTCATCCTCTACAACTTGTACACTTTGTTTGAGTACGTTAACGCCGGAGAGTCGATTCGTGCTTGGTGGAACAACCAAAGGATGCAAAAGGTTACCTCTTCTGCATCATGGTTGTTTGGGTTCTTGAGTGGGATTGTTAAGGTTGTCGGGTTCTCCGACACGGCGTTTGAGGTGACCAAGAAAGAGCATTCGAGTGATGGTGTTGTTGCAAATAAGGAGCAGTATGATGCCGGAACGTTCACTTTCGACAATTCTCCCTTGTTTATTCCTGGTACAACCATTCTGCTGGTGAACATTGCAGCTCTGTTCGTTGGGCTTGTGGATTATATTACAAAAGAGAAGGTGGGTTGGAGTTTGGGGGAGGTAATTTGCAGTGTGTGGGTGATATTAATGTATTGGCCATTTCTCAAGGGCTTGTTCCGAAAGGGGAAATATGGGATTCCACTGCCCATTATTCTCAAGTCTGGAGGGTTGGCATTGCTTTGTATCCATGCTTGCAAGTTCATTCACTAAATTATGTCGCTATTTTAATTGAATAATAATTGGGGAACCCCACCATATTTCTGTCTATAATTGTTATGAATTGCGCACTCAAGTATGTCATTGATTGAATTATGGGGGACTTTTGTTGTTTTCCTATTTGAATGTAAAATTTTTTTTATAGATGTCCTCCGTCCCCAATTTCATTACAAATTGAAATTTACGAAGAAAAATGTCTCACTTTTTGAAATTTTTTTATTTACAAATTGGTTATCGATAAGAAATAAAAATTACATATTAAAAAACTACGTCAAAAGTTTAACAAAACAAGATGTGACAAGAATATTTTATTTTATCAAATACTTACTGAAATCGCGTAAACAAACAAAAATTATCAAGAGAGAGAATTTTTTTTTAATGAAATTGGCGACAGAAAGAGTATATGTGTGTGTGTATATATATATATATATATATGATGGGGGTGATAGAAGGGACATGACACATAACGCCTATGTGGCGATAGTCAAACCCCTATCAAGCCCAAAATTGTGGTGCGGTTGACCCCGGGAGGGGGGACTGCCATCATAGACATTGCCCTTCTCTTTCTTTATTACGGAGTACTACCTCCGTCCCAGAGTATTTGTCCACTTTCATTTTTACACAATATCCAATACACTTCTTTAATCCATTTTATCTTGTAATTTGTATATTAAAAAATTATAGAAATTATATATTAATAATCTATATGTTAAGACAAATCAAACAAGATCACACATCACTATTTTTAGGCTTACACATTGAGAGAATTTGATGAGTCAAAGTGCTTAGATTAACAGTTCTAAAAGTCAAAACTGGACGAATACTCCGGAACGGAGAGAGTATTTTTTAAACTTTTTTAATCTCAAGTCAATTAAAATATAATCTCTCCGTCCTAAAGAGATCTTCCTGGTCATTATTCACGTAATTAAATCTTAATCATTTTTTTTTTATTATTTATTTTCGTTATTTACTTAAAAAAAACTTCAACAAATATCGTGGACCACAGTGAAAAGATCCTTATTTTAGAATAGAGGGATTAACATACTCTCACATCGATCAATCAAAATAATACACTTTGATATAACACATTTTCTTCCTTCTAGATTATACTCCATTATACACCCCCATCAATCTCCGGATCAATCATCTTGCTCATATGATACGTAATCAATGACGTACAAAAATCATACACTACTACGGAGTATATCTTAGTCGGATGAATAAATAAGCAGGTAGAAATATAAATACGGGTTATCTCAAGACCCCCTAGCTAGCTCAGAGAACCACTGCAAGCTTTCAAGTTTCAACCCATAACAACAAATATGCCACCCCGCAAACCTCCTTCTTCTCCATTATCATTTCCGCCACTCTATGAAATAAGGCATAGAAACAATAGAATATCAAGAGCTGTAGAAGTCATCATTCTTTGCCTCCTCTTTTTGCTCATTACCTACAGACTCATTTCCCTCTACAGCCACCGCGGCGGCGGCGGCTTCTTATTATTCCCTTGGTTTCTGGCTCTCGTCTGCGAGTCTTGGTTCACTTTCCTCTGGATTCTCACTGTCAACTCTAAATGGAATCAAATTGATACCCATACCTACCCTCAACGCCTCCTGCAACGGTAAAATCTATTTTTATTACCATTCATATAATAATGTGTATACTTTTGTTATTCTAATATTTGGAGCAGGGTGAAAGATGGGACGGTTGAGCTTCCGGCGGTGGACATGTTCGTGACCACGGCGGATTCCGATTTGGAACCGCCGATCCTAACGGTAAACACGGTGCTGTCTCTGTTGGCGGTGGACTATCCGGCGAGCAAGTTGGCCTGTTATGTGTCCGACGACGGCGCGTCCCCTCTCACCTTTTACTCTCTACTCCAAGCAGCCAAATTCGCCAGGCTGTGGGTCCCCTTTTGCAAGAAGTTTAACGTCGCCGTTAGAGCTCCGTTTCAATACTTCAATAATGGCCCAGAATGCAGCTCCTTAGAATTCCAACATGAGTGGAAGGAAATAAAGGTACCTGCGTCCCAATCATTTTCTTAGTTGCATGTTTTAGTCCGTTTTGGTCTTTTCAATCAGATTTCACATCATATAAAGCACAAATCTTAAACAACCAATCAAAGTGTCAATATTTATATACTCCTTTAATTTCCTCTCGAATTGTTTCAATTTTGATGTCTGGTACTCTGGTTTATAGAAGTACTAGATATGGTACTCGACAACAAATTCCAATAATAACAACAATCTACTTCTAAAATAGGACTATAATTCAAACAATAACAATATTATTTCCAAAAGATATTTTAGATTGTAAATATATATTGACATATTATCACAATATCAATCATTATCAAATATGAAAAATACATAACAGTTCTTTTTATCCAAAATTTTTTTATGTTAGAATGACCTGAGGCCTCTACAATGCTCCATTGGTAAATTATAAATTGATGATTCTTACCCTCTAACCTTCCTCCCCTAAACCCCCCACCCTAGATTACCGATTTGGCACCATCAATTTTACCAACGGAGCACCGTAGGTGTCCCAAAATGCCTAGGTCATTCAAAGTCGATCAAATTAGGCTGGGGTGAAAAGATCCCTGCCGTTGAAAATAATACTCTCTCCGTTTCATAAAGTGGTTCCTATTTTGACTTAGAAGAGAAATAAGGAGTGTATGTTTTTGGTTGAATTTCGAATTTTACTTTTGATGTGATGAGTAAAAGTAAGACGTGATGGATAAATTATTAATAAAAAAGTATGATGTGATAGTTATGATAAAAAAATTACGGATAAAAGTGTTTTTTACTCCGTATATAGAAAGCAAAAGTATTTTGGGGAAAATAAAAAAAATGAAAGAGAAAGTATATTATGAAACGGATGGAGTATATCATTTTTATTTTAAGGATTAAAATTACATTTTCCTTTTATTTTAGGTGATTTATTACTTTACGAGTAATGTCTCCCTATTATCAACCGTGAACATCTCTTTGTTTTTTTTGTGTTATTTTCAAGGGCGAATATTCTCAATTGTGTGCAAAGATCGAAGATGCAAGCAAAAAACCAATGATCTTTGATCTTACTGGCGAGTTTTCAGAATTCACAAAGATTGAGAAGAGAAATCATTCTACCATTATAAAGGTTACACTTATTCTTTTAATCAATTCCTTTGGATTGATTCTCGTTAATTTCTTATTCTCAAAATCAATTAGACCTAAATGTGCAATTCTTTAAATTGATTTTAGAAAAAACACTCATTCAATTATTTTTACATTTTGGGTACTTTTTAAAATTTCTTCATCATATATGAAACTTATACTCCCTCCGTCCCTAAATAAACTTTCATTTTTGACTTTTTGAGGATTTAAAAGAGGGATATTTTGGTGTTGACTTTTCAAAAATACTTTTGATGTGATGTGTAAAAGTAAGATGTGATATGTAGATTATTAGTAAAAAGGTATGATGTGATAGGTAGGGTATGAAAAAGTAAGGGGTAAAAGGGGTTTTTTAAGGAAAAAGAGAAGTTTATTTAGGGACAAAAAAAAACGAAAGAGCAAGTTTATTTAGGGACGGAGGGAGTATTTTCTAAATACCAATCAAATTCTACAATAGAGCTAAAGTTTATAAGAATTTTGTAAAATTTCTTGCATAAATGTTTATCTCTGTAGCAAAGATTTGTTTATTAGGCTCATTCGTTAATGCATTGCACGGGAACTTTAAGTTCACGTAATGTGTAATTATTTTTATGACAAGTAGAATATATAATTTTATATTTTTAATTTTATGGGGTAATTTTTAAGAAATAAGGTTTATATCGTAATCCTAAGATTTGTAATCTAATTTGGGGTTTTAAACAAAGTAAGAGCAGTATTTTCGAGAGATATTTCCTCAGAGTTTTGTCGTTATTCAACGGGGCCACATTCGGGAGTACGGATTACATCATTGATGATGATAACTGGCTCGGCTCGGGGGTAATAATTGCAATATTTCCTAATCGAGTGGCTATGTACGCCACAGTCATGTGACTCCTTTCCTGGTTAGAATGTGAAGCACAACTCCTCACCAAATTAATTTCTTACTATGTAGTTTTTTTTGAAAAAATCATTCTAAATATGAATAAAACATAAGAAAAGTATTAAAATAAGACCTAATTTTTTTCTTAAATAGAAATTTGCACTGTTGTAATGTGACACTGTACATGTATTTGCATACTACTCCCTCCGTCCCTAAATATTTGTCACACTTGTATTCCCGAGGTAAAATATCAAGTTTTTTCAATTCATTTTATTTACATATTGGTATAGAAATAAAAAAAATTTACATATCAAAAAACTACATGAAATTTTTTTCGAAATAAGAGGTGTCAATAATATTTTATTTTATCAAATAACCAATGAAAACGTATAAATAAACAAAAATTCCCGTGACTGCTGAAAAAGCAAATGTTGTAAATATTTTGGGACGGAGGGAGTATATTGTTTGGTAATGTACATGATCATGATTGGTAGTGTAAATGCATTTTAATTTCTATTTCGAGAATAAAAATATAAAATTCTATTATAGTATATTTTCAATGTTTTACTCCTATTTTAATCTTTCTATCTTGTTTTTTCTTGATGTGTAAATAGAATATCACATTTTGATACATTTCTAGTATTATTATTTTTCTTATGAAGAGGCTGTAAAATTACCCTCATCTAGTAACACCATTTGTTACACAATCAAATCTGGACACTTAAGGTGTTCTGATTTTAAAAAAATTGATTGTTCATATTTCCCTAAGGCCCTAATCCACGACCTAAATTGTTCCACGCTGACCGCTCCCCCCTTCCCTCACCCCATCCCTCCCTCCCGTAGCCCCTTTCCATTGATTGCCAATTTGGCAACAATTAATTGTAGGGAGCTATGGAGGCTAAGGTGAAGGGGCATGGAGTGGATAGGATGGAGAAGTCTAGGTGGTGGGTTAGAAGGATATGAATAATCAATTTTATAATTGGAATGCTGTAAATGCCTCAACCAACTTCTTCTTACCACTCTTTGAAAATATTGGATTAACATTCTAACACGTTATAAGTTTTATTCTTGTCACAACAATTGCAGGTAATATGGGAAAACAATGAATCTCTCACTCATGGGGATGAAGTTCCAAATATAATATACATCTCTCGGGAGAAGCGTCTTAAGCATCCACATCATTATAAAGCTGGAGCCATGAATGTTTTGGTAGTATTAAATTGACACATTTTTTAATTTAAACTTCTTATAAGCAAATAAAGAGACAAACATATATAAATATAAAATGCAGACAAGAGTTTCAGGAGTGATGACGAATGCACCATTTATGGTAAATGTGGACTGCGACTGCTACGTAAATGATCCAAAAGTGGTGATGCGTGCAATGTGCATACTTTTGGGAGCTGAGGATGAAAAAGACGCTGGATTTGTCCAATTTCCTCAAAGCTTTTATGGTGCATTGGAAGATGACCCTTATGGAAATCAATTTAAAGTCTTGATGAAAGTAAGTAGGCATATTTGTGATAGGGTATAAAAACTTAAAGAATATGCTTCCACTATCACATACAATCAGACATTGACAATATTAATCGTGTGTGAAACATTAATGGTGTCAACTTTGATGTCGTTCGTAGTGTGATTGTGGCACGAGTACATGACCAAATACATAAATTTTGGGTCTACAACTATGAACTTAAACTTCCAATTGAATTGGTTGTTAATAGTTCTCTTCCTCTCATCTATCTCCCACTTTTCTTTAATGAGATTAATAGTTATCTCCAATGGTATGAAACATTTTTCATTCTCTTTTTTTTGTTATATAGTATATGGTGTCAGGGTTTGCTGGGATTCAAGGCCCATTTTACCAGGGAACAGGATGTTTTCATAGACGAAAGGTTATATACGGCTCATCCCCAAATAAAAAAGGTTAGTATGCAATACATTATGAATTTATGACCCTCTCTGTATAATTTTGTTCAATTGAATCAAATATTAATGCTCGCTGGATCTCTAGATCTCTTTTCTATTTTGACTTTTATAGAATTTAAGGAATGCTATTTTTGTGTTGACTTTCTAAAAAAATACTCTTTAGGTGATAAATAAAAGTACGGTATATGTGATGAGTAGATTATTTATGAATAAACATGATGTGATATGTATAATAAGGAGAAATAAGTAGTAATTGTTGATTTATGAATTCACTCTTAAAGAATACTTGTGTACAAGGATGTTTATATAGGTGAGGATCCCTACATGAACTAGGATTCACCAAATATGTAAACTAACATAAATACAATTCTGCTATAACTAGACTTCTTTCCATATATGTCTAACATCCCCCCTCAAGCTGAACGCCGTGAAACGAGAGGAAGCTTGGCAACAAGTGCAGTGTAGCATGGCGAGGCAAGAGCTTTTGTGAGAAGGTCTGCCAGTTGCTCATTTGAAGGAACATAAGAGACCGTCATTTTCTCTTCGATTACTTGTTCTCGTACAAAGTGACAATCAGTTCCGACATGTTTCATGCGTTTATGGAAGACCGGATTCTTAGTCAAACAGATAGTGGACTGGTTGTCGCATAGAAGATGTGGAGGAGGGAGCTTGATCTGTAAAATGTCAAACAAATAGGTGAGCCACATTACCTCAGCTGCTGCGGCCGAGAGAGCTCTATACTCGGCTTCGGTGGACGAGCGTGAGACACGACTCTGTTTCTCTGTACTCCAAGAGAGTAAATTCGAGCCAAAATATATCAAGTAACCTGTAACGGACCGTCCATCTGTCATATCGTT